TTGCTGCGTGAGAGTGTACGTGGTCTTTAATTACTTGCGTCTATATCTCAACGTGGCTCCTTCAGTATGCGCTTGCGCGTACTTTCCACAGAAGATTTTTAGGTTAGGTTTTCCTGTTTTGTCTTGCTTTTGATCTTGTATTTTTTTACTAAGTTTCGTAATTTTGTTTCTATACTGACCCTGAAGTTTCTATCTCCCCTTTTAGGGTAATTTTTTCAGTTACATATCTGTTGATTCGTGTCATGTGATGGAGGATGGAGGAAACAAGAAAAAAAGCTGTTAATGAGCAAATGTCCACTTTACTTGCTGATACATATCGGGTCTTCAAAAAAAAACCAATCAAAGATTGCTTTGGTTACGAAAACGTACGTCGCATTATTGTTTCTTTATTGGTCAGGATTATTGACATGATATTTTGACAATAAATTTCATTGACTGACATTGTCAAAATTAAAGAAAAATATTGCTAAGACGTACGTTTAAAAAACCATAGCAATCTTTGATTGGTTTTTTTTTGAGGACCCAATATATATAAGTGTCAGTTATGAGGCTCTATTATATGTTTCAAAAAGTCTACATACAAGAAAATCAGGGATGAATGCAATTGAACGCCATTCCGTCCACAGCATTGTGCCTGAGACCAAATCTAGCCATAATAAAAAAGCTGAACACCAGAGAAGATATTTCGCGCCATTAAAAAAGGCAAAAATTACAAAGAGTAAAACGATGCATTATTATAATCTCTTGTAATATTAGCACAGATCACCTGTATTATAGGTAGATACTCTCTTTTTTATTTTAGGTGCGATTTGATTTTTCTGTGTCAAAATAAATTTTTTAACCAAATACATACCTACCTTTGTGTTTTACTTATTACAGATATAAATAGTTAAGGGCGAGATTGGGTTTCTTGTGCTAATTTTTTGCTAACTAAAAAATTACCCTAAACAGGGTAAATAGAAATTTCAGGGTCAGTAGAAACAAAATCAGGGAACCTAGGCAGGCAACAACGTACAAAATCAAAACAAAACAATAAAATCCAACCTAAAAATCTTTTGTGCAAAGTAGGCGCACGCGCATACTGAAGGAGCCACGTTGAGATATAGACGCAAGTGTCTTTAATTGGCGTGTGACCTTAAGTTGGTATGTGACCTTGAGTTAATGTATGGCTATAGGTGATGCCATGTGTCCTTGTAAGCCCTAACCATGACTTTGGCTTCATTCCATTGACCTTGAAATATAGTCCGTGCTTATGGTCTTGCAGGTGAATTCATTTGTAATTGATCTTGTAAGCCTGATGTTTCTCTATTTTCTATTTTACAAAGAAAAATTTCAACAAAGAAAAGTTCTATAGTTTTGCGAAGTTTCAAGGGCAAGACCGTTAACTATACAGGGTGTATCAGGTTTACCTAAAAAAAACTTAACACGTGAAAATATGGCCCATTTTCAAGAAAAAAAGTTTGTACTACGTGGGGTCCAAACTCAACCATTTTGAAGAAAAATGCCTTTGAAGTTTTGACATTTTTTGTATTTTGAAAGACAATTTTAATGATTGTAATGACACGCACGAAAACTTTAGACAAAATCTACACCGTAAGCGAGCTATCACGTTTTACGTTTTGCAAAAATAACGGTTTGTAAATCCGTCAAAAAAATAGGTTTAAAAATAGGTCATGAATCTACCTCGTCTGTCTTCCTTTTCTCTCAATGCAATGCGCGTATTTTTTGGCGCTCTGGTGCTCAAGAGTAGGAATGCGGTACCCATACTATACAGGAGGAACCACAAAAGGCCGCCTGGATGAACTAGGCCTAATGTAGGCTGGGCAAATTTTCTGTGCAACCCAAAAAATATACAGGGTGATTCCGAAATAAGTGCGCATTTTGTTATGATAGATAGAGTACAATAGGACAATCACTCTTTGCATAGGTACTGTAACGTTTAAAGTTACTTGTTCTTTTTTCTTTCAAATTTAACTTTATATAACCCTCTTAAATGTTGACAGTCTAGTGACTAACATTTAAAAAAATACAGGGTTCCCGCTATTTATTATATAGCAGCTATCAAATTATTACACTAGAGGGCACAGTTTTCATTAAAATTCGACGCACCGGTTAGTACAAACAATTTCCGTGACTATCTGGACAGAAAGAGCTGTATGCTCACCTGGTCCCGACCAATTCTCTGCCTTTTTGATTTGTGTCGGCGAGCTGCAAGATCGATCGGCTGAAAATCGCCATCTTCTCGAGACAACCGTACTGTAAAAAAAAAAGTACCTTACCGGCCTTCAGGCATTACCTTATTTAAACAAAATAAAGTTGCGTGAGGTAATAATCTGTCGATTGCAAAAAACTTTGAATCAAAAAGTCTTATGATTACCATTTAATTTAATTTTGAATTTCAACTCACAACGTGGCAAGTTTTTTTAATTTTTTTTAAAGTTTATTAGCTTTTCAAGGAATTCCTTATTACTTAGGGTCTTTCGGAGAGCCGTTTTTCTCAACAAGTCCATTCCAAAAAGGCCACATTTCCAATCGAACACCATTTCCATGGAGTGTCGCATAGAGCTTTTGAAGGGATCCTACAAAAATCAAGACCCTCACAAATCGATACGTGTGCCGTGCCCCACCTTTGACGACGATTTTAGTCCCTCTGCTGCCTGGATTCTGGGCTGGAATCCGCCAGTTCCATGTGCGGTCCCCTTCGTCCAGATACCGAGGATGGATGGCTTCCGTGATCTGCCTTATGTTGGAATGGAGGCTTGTATCACGTTTTTCTAATAACTTTTAATACCTTTTCTTTTATTAAATCGGTGTTATAGTCAATTAACAAATTTAAGATAATTTTTTTGAATATCCTTAAATATTACCTTATATTTTATCAATTTTATCAATAAGTAAACTGAACAAAGGTCAAGGTTGGACAACATGTTCTGAACTTAAATTCTTGAGTAATAGCCTGCCGTCGAAAATTGATCAATTTTTAACCCGAGCTCCTATAACTTATATATTAGAGGATTTCCCTTATGTCGACCAACTTTCGATTTTTTTTACAGGTAAAGTGTGTTTTTTTTTTTTAAGATAAAAGTCAAAATGACATTATGTTGGCAATACAATGTAAAATTGTCAATGCTTTCAAATTTTTTATGTAGAAAAGGCTTGTGTTGCCAACATAGTTACTAAATTTTTGAATTTATTTGTTTTTGCAGAAGCTGATCATATTTATTAATAAATTAATAAAAAAACGTTTATTATGCAACATAACAAAAAAAAATTACATCATTGGTTGGAACTAGTTTTCTGACTGTTTCTGACTGTTTTCAACCAATCAAATTCACTCTGACTGGTTTGTGATTTCTGCAGAAACAGACCTATAGACTTCTTAGCTTGGCATATACAAATGACAGCTTTTTGTTCACGTGTAGCTGAAAGTCAAGCCTTTTATCAAAGGTAACTCCCAGATTCCTGGCCGACTCTACAGAGGGCAAAATAGTTCCATTAATATGTAAGGTTGTAAAGCTATATTGGAGAAATTGTTGCATATTATTATTTGAACCTATAATCATATAGTGAAAAACATTCAGGACCAAGCCATGTTTTGTCAACCATTTATATATTTCCTCTAGATTAGTCAAGATTATTATTTACTCTCTACATATTCAGACACGAATCCTCTGGAGGAAAACCAACCAGCATTAATAAACTGAAAATGAAACAAATTAGCGTTGACCCCAAATTAAATTAAAATATTAATATACGTTAAAATTTTATTATTTAGTCACCAAGAGTGATGTCATCATCTAAATCAAATTCATTAAATTATTAAAAGCGAGGCCAAAGTAAATTAAATAGGTGATTTATGGCCGCACGTGTTTTTCGGCTTTCTTTGTGTTGTCCTCGCATTCTTAAACCAAATCTCTTTACCCTGATAAACCAGGAAATTGCGACAATTGCATATCCTCTAAAAATGATGAAATTAGTTTTTGGAATAATATAGGTAGATCGAGTGGTTAACCAATAGAATTAAATTATAGATGGTCAAACGACCGCCCATTGTCGATTTTGGTTGGTAATTAATAAATTTTGGGGGGAATCGAAAAAGATAAATACAGCGGTTTTAGAAGTGGGCAGTTGAGTTGAGTTTAAGTTCAGTCCAGTTGTTAGTCTTCAGCCTGCAGTCCAGTTTTGAGTTTAAAGTCTACAGTCCGGATAAAATTCGCGAGAGTTTCTTTTATTTTATTGCCTCGGAAAAACGTGTTTAATTGAATCTTTGTAAAAATACAGAAAATTCTGAAAGAAAGAACATTTAAAGTCATTCAACATTATGTGCGAGCTCTAAGTAATCAAAAGAATTAAATAAGATTAGTGTTTTATGGACAAAATGTAAGTACTCTATAGTGACAAGTTTTATTTTTGACTATAAATAATGAATTTGTATGAAGTGAATTAGCTTTGGAACTTTATTGCTTAAATATTAATAACTCGAGTGTTTTGACTATGGAACATTATTGCATAACTTTAGTTGCCTTCGAGTAAAATGACATTATAATTAATTTTGCAGAGTTTAAAGGGGGAATTTATAATGCACTTACCAAGTATCGATTTTGAGTAGGAATTATTAAAGAAGTTTGAGTTGGATTGTCCAATTGAAGTTTACAGGCTCTAGGCTCTAGTAACAAACTAATAAGAATTTAAATAATTGTGTTTGTTGGCTAGGAATCCGAAAATAGTAATAGTTCTGATTAAATTGATAAAAAGTTTTGTTTGAAAATTGTTGTTCACGATTTTAAGTTAACATTGAAATACCGGCTCTTAGTTTGTTTTCAATGAAAGAACAACGGTGCAAATAGTTGTGAGGCCAACTTACATTAGAGGTAAATTTTGAATAAATCCATTCTCAATTTTCTTTGTCAGATACCCTGCACTGCATTTTACCTTGCATGAGATGATTTAAACTTTCCTTCAAGATTTTATCCAATAGAACTGCAACAAATTATTGAGGGTAATAATTATTGTAATAATCCATCTTCACAAAACATCATTGGGTACTTTATTTTCCACAATCATTTTTACAAATTAAAACTAAATGATATGAGCTGATTTTAATTTGTACATCTATCTTGCTGATAAATCAAAATTATTAGAGATAATGATCAAAAATCACATTAGAAGTGAATGATAAATTAAAGCTATTGATGCAAAGAGCTTAAATTTTATGCAATACAAAAAATTTCAAGAAAAAGTATTGACAATACATCTAAAACTATGAGTAATAATTATTATTAACATAAACTAGTTTCACTTCATTATAGCATTGACCATATTTTGGGACTCATCCCATAATTCTGTTGCCAGTTTATCATAAAATATGGCTTTGCTATTATACTTTTTACAGTCCCTATAAAGAAACCCTGTTTCATTTTCAAGTGATGGTTCTGTAGCACAATATATTGCGGTTTGTGAGCCCTGAAATAATCAAATTAGTTTCAAAAAATATATCTTATGGATTTCTCGCACCTGTTTCGCACTTCTCATAAAGAAAAATGCTACTGGGGCAACCATTATCAAATGATACCATTTAAATGAGTACCTAAACAAACTGGTATAAACCCAACCTGGACAAATTGCATACACTTTTATGCCTAAAAATTGCTAAATAGTTAGACATAAAATTACTAATAAATATTGTTCTTACCTTTATCTTTAGATCGTTTAGCAAACTCTTGTGCAAAATACACATTAGCCAATTTGGAATTAGCATATAAATTTTCTCTGTCCTCAAACTCCAAGCTTTGTATGGCCTTTATGTCTAATTTTCCTTTTTCGTGTAGTGAGGATGCAACCACAACTACTCTACCTAAAATGATAATAAACATTTTTCCTTATTGCCACTATGTCAGGTTTAGCGGAGCAGATAATGAAATAGTAGGCAATGAGTATGGAGTTCCATAGGGATCAGTCTTAGCCCTTCTGCTGTACTCGCTTAATGTATGATATGCAAACCTCAGGGATAAGTATTTCCGAGGGTATTTCACATTCTTTATGATGATACTATCTTGGTGTATGACTGTATGAGGCAGGATGATAAAGATAGAGCATTGAAAAACATGGTAAATGATTATTTGCAATTATATCTCAATTAGCTTTTATGTAAAATGAAAATGAACATTGACAACACTACATACATACATACATACATACATACATACACACATACTTACTTATATACTTTTCAAACAAAATAATAATAAACGAAGTGACCTATATACAGGTAAAAATAAATAATCTTATACTGGAATTCTGAAGTGAAAAACTTTCAAAAGTAGGTATAAAGATTGTTTTCAAAAAAAGAAAATTAACATTAGTATTTCTGTTAATACCTTTTCCATTTGCAACCAAACTCTCCAATAAATTGGTCAAATAAAAGTGCCCCAAATGATTGGTGCCAAAATGCATTTCGAATCCATCTGCGGTTTGTAGTCTTTGGGATTTTGGATAGGCGACTCCAGCATTGTTAATTAGAATGTGAATTTCTGAGAATTTCTCTTTCACCATTTCCGAAAAGAGTTTTACTGATTTCAGAGAGGCTAAATCCAATTCCATAGGAACCTTTAAAAAACTAGTAAGCATAGTAATGTCTTTTTATTATTTCTTACCAGAGTAGGATTATTAAATAGCAATTTCTTGATTTTGTCTGCCGAAGATTGTGCCTTCTTCAAGCTCCTGCAAGCCAAAATCACTTGTGCATTCCTCGCCGCTAATTCCTTGGCAATTTCAAATCCAATTCCCGAATTGGCGCCGGTGACCAGAGCTATTTTTCCGTCGAGTTTCACTTTGTTTTTGCATTTTCCCCACTTACTTTCGCGATATTTTCGTACAGCAACAAGAAGTAGTATTGTTGGTAGAATACAATATGCTATGGGATGTATCATTGTATATGTGAAAGAAAATATCGTCTGGTCTGGAAATATTATAAATTAAAAATTTGTAATTGGAATTTGGACTATTAGTATTATTTTTTGGATATGTTTGTTTACATAAATTAAAATGCCAATTTGAATATGATGATTGATGTCATATTTTATGGTTTTCGTCTGTACCTGCTAGATCTGCTCCGAGCAGATCTAAGCCGCTTTCCAGCTGAAAGCCGGAGTCTCATGCATCCGTTTTCCGACGTTTTATGTCCGAAAAACCTTCTAGTCTGTCATAATCGTATGAAAATATGCCAGAATAGGTTTTTCGGACATAAAACATCGGAAAACGGATGCATGAGACCCGGCTGAAAACGTGCGTAGGTTTGACACCGCGCGCATCGAACCCTCGAACAAGCCAAGAATAATACACACTACCTTGACACACTATACCTATAGAGGATAGCTTTTTCTCATGAGGCCTGTGTAGTTCAAATCTTAAAGCCCCCCACGGCCACCACCATGCGAAAGCAACAGTGATGACGTAAATAGCATGTCGTTTCTCGCCTTGACGTACAATTTATTTGCGTTTGGAAATAATTTGAGTTGAGTTCGGAATGGGATCTTAGTGCGGTGCTAGTGCGGTGTTCGTGTAGTGCAGGATTATATCACGTGATGAAGGTGTAATTGGCAGTGTAAAGCTTAATTCTCACTTGCGCGAAATTCGCTCTTTTTGACATTGCTTCGAAAATTTAACGTTTGATACACGCATAAAACCTCAAATTGTCAAAGCCATGTCAAAGAAAGAGCAGATTTCGCGCAAAAAGAGCGCATTTGCGCTAGGGATGTCAATTTTTATTGAAACACCGGTTTTTCCATTAACCGGTCAATTTAGTAACAGTTTTAACTGCCCGGTTATAACTGATATAAAACACCGGTTATTCCGATTAACTGGTTGTTCGGTTATTTTTCCAAATTTTATCAGAATAATTGCATTATTTATACTATAATGTAAAATTAATTAAACAACAACATATCTTTATTGTAAAAAAAAAATCGAGAACTGTTACATGTTAAGAAAAATCATCAAAGAATACCTACACTTTTCTTCTCTTCTGTAATTTTAAACATGTACCCATTGAGAAAACAACCCGCTGCTGAACGAATCAACCAAAACTGAAATGAAATACTACAGATAGGCACTACTATTGGTTAAAGACTGTGGAAATAGGTATTCGACTGTTGTCGCTTATTCAATATTTTACAATTTATTTAATAAGACAAGAGAAAAGTCTACATGTTTCACTTTCACCAGTTATTAGGTATGAAACCCGGTTATCCGGTTATAACTGGAAGCAAAAAACAACTGGTTTTAACCGGTTAACCGAAAAGAAAACACCGTTTTTTCGGTTTTAACCACCGGTTATTGACATCCCTATTTTGCGCAAGTGAGAATGAGGCATAACACCGAATACACCATCACTTTGTACCGCGTAAACGGTGTCCCACCATTCGGGCACCAAATTATTTCCAAGCGCAAATAAAGGCGTATTTGTTTGGCATTAGTTGTATTCCTTTCAAGAGCTTGAAACACTCGCTTCGGTGCTTGGTCGCACCGTTTAGTTGTATTCCTTTCACACCTAGGAGCAGCTCCGGAACAGCTCCGGGGCTTCACGCGCTTATTCCTTTCGAAAAGTGTTTGTTGCACCACGCATCTGTTCCCTGCAAATCGGGGGCGACTAAACACCAGAGCGAGTAGCTCAAGTGTTTCAAGCTCTTGAAAGGAATACAACTATTGCCAAATGTGCCAAAAAAATGTAGCCATGAAAGACAGATGCCACAAGGGGGAAAGTTGTTTTTTTCTGTTGCACGCTGACATATGACGTTTTCGAAAGTTTTGTCATATTTACCTTCACAGGTTTCATCAATTGGAATACATGTTGGAAGCAATTTCCGCCATTTGACATAATAGAGAGTTATTGGACGTGCAATAAGGACAAGCAGTATTCAAATTAGCCTTATTTTGACATCTACGCATGCGCATTTGGGTTCCAAAATAAGGATTCCCTTAATAAGGTTACTGCTTGTCTTTATTTGTGTATGGTTAGTGCGAAGCAGTAAACTTCCTTTATTTCAAATTTCTGACATTTTGGACGACTTTGACGTTTTGCTTTTCGACGATGACGTAATTTTACTGAAAATTTATTTTTTACAATACTTTTCCATTTTACTGTGGGTGACATCAAAAAATGAGTATCAGCAGAAAATCACAAACAAAACTAAACACTTTTTGAGGCTGAAATTTATAAACATAGCTATCATCTGTCAAAATTATGAATACAAAATAAGGTAATACTCTAGTACCTACTACAGTCTTCCAATAACTGTTTTTTTCTTGGAAAAATAATGCTGATGCACTAATAAAATAACGCAGATCCTCAATACTGTGAGGCAGTATTTAATAGCTCCAATAACTCTCTAATGAGTGCGACAAAAACAGGTATCGCCTCCGCAGCAGCGGCACTGGCACTAGGCTTCACGTTCGTCAATATGTGTTCGCATTCCAGTTTTTGGTTATAGTTCATTGTTCACGAATGACATATATAATGTGAGTATCGTATTTGTGATTTTGGCAGTATAATGCCATATATTATTCCCGCAGGGATTAATGGTCATTATTCCCGCTTGCACACCAATCACAAAATTTCTCAAATTAAATAAGTAGTACTACCATGGAAACAATATACCTGAACAAACTCAAATGTGACAGTGTCAAACACGTAGTGCTTGTGTATTTGTATTGAGATGGATGATCAAAGAGCATTTTTGGAAAGGAAATTTCATATAAATTAATTTGTCGTAAATAAAGTAGAGTGTATACTACTCGCAATAATGGCTATTATTCCCTCGGAATGTTACTCCCTCGCCGCTAACGCGACTCAGTTCGTAAATATTCCTCGGGAATAATAGCTATCATTATTGAATTGACTCGTGGTATAATCTCATTGAGGTTCGGAAGATGAAGAAGCTCTTCTTTCTTCTACGTTAATCGTAATGAGTGCGAGCGAGACAACAATCCCACTGTATTGCTGGGTTGCATATATCAAAATTCGGCACACTAGCATAAAGCAGTGCGCCCGTTCCAGAGTGTTTATTTAGTTCAATGCCTACAACAAATGATTAATTAATTAATTAACAAAATAAAACAGTTTTTTGACAAGGAGTTTCAACTGCAAGCGGCTTTCCAGCTGACGCTTTTGAGCACGTATTAACGCAATCGAGCTTTTGCGCGCGCAAATGCTTCAAGCGCGTGTTCGTGTTCTAGCCGTACTGCACTTCGAGAGCTGCTAACTTTTGCGTTTAAAACACAGAACACTGTGCTGCACCGTGCTTCTAACACACAGCTGGAAAGCGGCTACAGTTGTGAATGACAATTGTTTTATTGAACGAGTTCGGATCAAATCTACTCAAGTGAAACTTTATTGTATCAGTTCAATCCGAACTGAAATGAACTCTTCTCCAAATTCCGAACTCACCTTTGTTGCCACTTGCGTCTATATCTCAACGTGACTCCTTCAGTATGCGCGTGCGCCTACTTACCATAGAAGATTTTTAGGTTAGGTTTTTTTGTTTTGTTTTGATTTTGATCTTGTAGTCCAGGAGGTGGCGCCAAAAACATGCAAGAGTTTTCGCAAGGCGGATATTTTCAAAATAGGTCGTACTTTAGTGCTAGAATGCTAGTGTACAGTCAGCACTCACAGTTCCGGGACAGCTGGCTCTGGGACGCGGGCAAAGTTGTAATTTTAAGAAGCATCTAAACTGTTTTCTCAAAGCTCAAAATTTATAGAAATTTTGCACATTATCTGTTTGAAGGTCACAGATAACGTATGTAAATCGTCAGACGTCTAGTTCGTTGCAAAAAGGGGGTCAGACGTCCTCAAAGTTTTTATTTTATGGCATTTTCTTCAAATATATTTGTCAAATACCTGCAAAAATATATTTTGACAGGACACCGAAGAAAATGCCATAAAATAAAAACTTTGAGGACGTCTGACCCCCTTTTTGCAACGAACTAGACGTCTGACGATTTACATACGTTATCTGTGACCTTCAAACAGATAATGTGCAAAATTTCTATAAATTTTGAGCTTTGAGAAAACAGTTTAGATGCTTCTTAAAATTACAACTTTGCCCGCGTCCCAGAGCCAGCTGTCCCGGAACTGTGAGTGCTGACTGTACACTAACATTCTAGCACTAAAGTACGACCTATTTTGAAAATATCAGCCTTGCGAAAACTCTTGCATGTTTTTGACGCCAGCTCCCCAACTATTGTACGTTGTTACCTAAATTCCCTAATTTTGTTTCTACTGACTCTGGAATTTCTATCCACCCCGTTTAGGATAATTTTTTACTTAGCAAAAAATTAGCGCAAGAAACTCAATCTAGCCCTTAACTATTTATATCTGTAATAAATAAAACACAAAGGTACCTATGTATTTGGGTGAAAAATTTATTTTGACACAGAAAAAATCAAAATGCACATAAAATCTAAAAGAAAGTATCTATAGTCCCCGCCACAGATAATCGAGGTTCCTTCAAAAAATGATTTCTCTGTCGGCGATGCCCGGATAAGCAAAAACTGTTGCAAAAACTCTACACATAAAGAATTGAGAATAAATTTAGTCCAAGAGCATCAATTTTTTGATTTTGTTTATCCGGGCATCGCCGACAAAGAAATCATTTTTTCTAGGAAATATTGTTTTTTTCCTTCCAGCCACCAACGAATCATGCATATTTTTGGTATGTCTGCTTAAATTGCCCTGATTTGAAAATGTTTTGGAACACCAAGTACAGACATATACATATCTACAAAATTTGGATACATCTTCACTTCTGGACTTACTTCTCATTAGACTTACTCAATCACTTTTACTTATCTATAAGCCCTTTTTAATGTTTTCACTGTTTCCCTCCATCACGATACGAATCAACAGATATGTAACTACAAAAATTACCCTAAACGGAGTGAATAGAAACTTTAGGGTCAGTAGAAACAATGTTACGTTACGAAACAAGTACAAGTTCAAAATCAAAACAAAACAGGAAAACCTAACCTTAAAATCTTCTGTGGAAAGTACGCGCACGCGCATACTGAAGGAGTCACGTTGAGAAATAGACGCAAGTCGCCGGATGTTGTGAAGATGGTGGTACAATTTTGCAAATTTTACAAAGGACCCCGCACATTTCTTATGGAAAAGTGATCTATGTGGAATTTTGCTGAATTTTTGATATTGTGTATAGGGAGTCGTCCTTAACAAAAGTGATCATTGCGCTAATGTTCAATACCCAACAGTTTTCAAGATTTTAATTAAAAACTTTTTTAATAATACTCTTCAGTATGACGTCACTCACAGCAACGAAAATTATTACTATCCTTTTCACTTTTGACTTTGACTTTACTCTTCATCTCCTTTTACATTAGGAAAAAAAAAAGATA